TCCCCTACCCTCTCCTCCCTTGCCAGGGAAGTGGTGCTCATCCTTCCGGAGTCGCCTGAACACCGAAGTGACCGATACGCCCCCCTTCAGCGACCAGCGGCTTCTCAGCTCCAAGGTGCCCATCTGTGTGTACACATCAGTCCTCCCACGAGCCACAGAGCCCCTCCACTACACCCATAAGATCCTGGACGCAGGCATGGAGAACACCGCTTCAGGGCGAGGCGACACAACTATGAACTCCAGCGATGGGGGAATCCTCATGCCTCTCTGCCCGAGGGACAGCAGCACGCCCGAGCCCAAGGAAGAACCAGGATCGCTGGAACTCGTCCCCTTGGAAGAGCTGACGACACCCCTGCAGCCCTCCTCCGCCCGTAGGTCCTCCAGGAGACACAGCAGGAGGAAGAACCACTCTGATCATCGGTATGACTAGAGACTAAACCTTCCCAAAGCATCTGCTGCACACTCCCTGGCTCTTGCTACATCCTGGCATCTCCAGCAATCATGGACATACAGCTTGACAGCATGTTGCCGATGTGCTTTCAACATCGTCTAACTTTTTCACCCTTGTGCTCAGGCCTAACCTTTTTTTTGTTTTATATCTTGTTCCAAATCTTTACTTCTGCCATACTCTCACTTTTTATTTTAGATTCATTCTGTATATTTAGAACAGATACAGCAGAGATTTCATGTTACATACCTTTCTTTCGTATAGTCATGGTAATATCTGTTACCTACTCAATCACCATTATACAAACACAATACAAAAAAATAAAACCTCAAGAAACATGACCATTTTTTATCATACCACTGCCTGCAACAATACAGCATGTCTATACTGTGTCACTACATAACAAATAGCTAAAGCCTGGCAGAGATTACACATTGTACAGGTACCAAAACCATCCTTGTACATAACCTTGCCACAACCTGTATATCAGTCTACACTGATAGACCATAACTTCCTTAATCAAGAATTATTGCTTTTATTGGCTAACTAATATTGCTGAAGCTCTTATCCCTAATGAGTATTACATTTCTGTAAGAAACCGAATATTTTTTCTTAAATCACTTTTTAGATAAAGTAGGAAACAAAGCATCAAGATAGATGTCAACCATTACCCTAAATAGCTGGATAAAGATAATTAATAACGAAGTTCTTTAAATATCACATAAGTACCATCATTATTAATTTTTCAAATATAAATCATGTAAAGTGAATAACATAGGACATGCTCTTCAGGACTCGTAAGGCTCGACCAGAAAATGGAAATATAGAAACCCAGAAAAGATAAGAAATGAAGTGCACACAGAAGCTCGGAGGACTTTTGCCAAAGCATCTGCCAAGCAGTCTACTATTTGTTCAGCTCTGGTTATACCAAATATAAAATCCTAAGATATTACCATTTTTGGTGGCATTTCTTTATCAAATGTAAAAACCTACATCATGTCTAGATTAATATATTATTTTATTATTTTCAGTAAATTATGTGTAATACATTCCTATCATGTTATTTCCAGTATGAAGTGTATAAGCAATGTATGTGTGCCAATGTATATGTAACTGCATATTTATCTACACAGACTGGCATAAAAGCAACAGTGTGAGAGAAAATAGCAAATATAAATATTTTAAAATGAGTGTATACAGATTTCAAACCTTTTACTGCTTTCATGGATCTGAATTAGCACCGCCTTCTCTTCTCTCATAATTGGCATCCTCCCTACAGCCTTTGCATCTCTGTGTATTTCAAGGTCTCCTACTTTGAAAAAGAAAAGATATTTATGGGCAACAATTCAGTAATGTGGAATATTTATAAATCTTCTCCATCTCTATTGCCCTTCCTTCACTCATCATATAAGATTTCATATCAGTGCATTAAAAATTGCAATCTTATTACATAGTAAATCTTCTAAAGATACATATAACTATTCTTCCTCCATAAAGAAAGTGATCTTTCTAGTCAATATACAGTATTAGTAAACAATAAAGCAATATGCAGGCAATATGCAGCAGCTCTTTCTGCATAAACTAGAAGGCAGCTGTCAAATAAGATCTTTCTCAGAGATACCTAAAAAATGAAGACAGTTTATTAGCCTTAGAGGCCATAGCCTAAACATGCTTCATACAGTGCTTCAACAAGAAGTATTTCATCATGTGCATCATATAAGAACCAAGACATTGATACTGTAATACTGACTGCTTTATTCAAGTTAGAAAAGCTCAATTTTCATCCAGGCAAATGAGGATTTTTTTTTTTATGAAACTGAATTTCAAACATCATCAATAGTTGTTGCCATCTCTGCATGGCAGCAAAACCTCCAAGCTAAAGAACTCATGACCATCCAAAAAGTATGCCTGTATGTTGGAGGCAGCCATATCTAGAGTTATCATAATGTAATTTACTACTGAAGAAAGCAGTTGTAATGTTGTATCATACTATTTAGTTTTGCAATTGGCTAAATCATATGTAAGAATCTCCACTGACTGCACTAATGTATCATGTAAATTATGATTTTTTCTCTGATATTTGATTGTATACTGAAAAGATTATAAGTTCTGAGCTTTCACATCACAGAAATGTTCTTGATATAAAATATAGCAGTAAAGAGTAAAAATTCTGCAAAAAGAATAGGCTACATAACCCTTTCAAACTCTAATGTTGTAAATTCTGATTAATTTGTGAGAGTCTATTTTAGCTTAAAGATTTTAAATTGTCTCACAAGCTAGCCTATTCAGGTATCACAATTTTCTTACCTTACTTAGTAAAAGGCCATTTATTTGCATTAGATTCAACTCTAGACATTTTTACTTTCATAACTGATATGACCTTTAACATTTCTCAGGAAAATATTGCTTTGAACCCTTGGAAATGCATAAATAAAAAGAAAGGCCTTCACAATTTGAGACAGAGCCAAGCGCAGGCCTCTCATATAACCACATCCCAAGGCCCATACCTAAAATTAGCACACTAGACAATAACTAAAAGCAAACTTCTTATGTGTACAATGAAAGTTCCATAGTAATTAAGTCTATTTTAAGAATGAATGGTCCCCATATTTTACTGTACTTCTCTGAACAGACTATACAACACTGCCTGCTAACATAATCTATTCATCATACCTAATAAACAATAAAATACTGGATATTAAATATATATGTAAATTAGATGTGATTATCTTTTCTAAAAGCACCTTTGTTTCTCATTTGTGGTCTTGTCAGTAGACCCATATTAAACTACAAATAATGAATGGTGCAATGCAATCAACAACTGATGATATTGATTTTTTTCTGTGACTTAGAATGGAATAGATGTATTAAGGTCTGCTATTGTATTAGAACAAAGATTTGTGAATGTGAAATGTTTGTACTGGGTATTTGTATGTACTGTGTCTTACTAATATATGAATAAGTATTTTTCAAAAAGTATCATGCTCATGTTGGTAACTGTGCATAATAATTTTTCCAGTATTGATTTTAATATATAAGACTCCTGTATCACTCCTAAGTAAAAAAAATAAAAAAATCTGTAACCTTAATCTTCAAAATGTGCTCAAATTTTTAAAACTTATTTAAGATCCATCTATTTCTGTATATTATTATACACAATGCAAGAGTTTTGTTACATATTTTTTTTAAATATCTTGTATCATCTACATCAATGTTATGTATATCAACGAAGATATTGCATACCTATGAGTGTGACTATAAGACTAAATGTATATCTTACTATCTGTGTGAAGAATCAAGACTACTTAAATAAATGGTGGACATATCTTGCACACATGAAGTTCTTTACTTTCTCATTCTTTTTTTTTTCTTAACCTTCTCAACTTATCACTTCCTTGTAATAAGTATTTAATAATTACATGTACAATCATAATAAAAATTGAGGTAAATAATAAACATAATGAAGTGATAATTTTACTGTCAACAAGAACATCTGCAAAAAAATCTCAGAGCAAATGACCTAATGCTCCCCTGCCTGTCCTGAATATGTTTGTGTATCAAATGCATCAAGTAAAAAGATTTTGTTGTACTATAGTTGCACCCAAAACCAGATAGAGAAAATTTACCTCTAGAAAAAAGCTTGTACCCCAGCAATGGATAGAAAAAAATACATATGTGCACTGTAAATTTTAATAGGCAATATGGTTATCATTACTTAACCTGGACATTAGCTAGAGTCTGTGCAACAACAACACCTTTACCAGGCACTGTAAATGGAACTCCCTTAAACACTGCAACTTTGTTTTGATCAGTCTTGAGGTCAGGTGCACAAGTTTCAAATATCTTCTTTTTGGGATTGAGGACGGCATCAGGATTGCGGGTGTAACCCTCAAATTCTACAAGGTCACCAGGCTGACTTCCTTCTGGTGGTGCAAGTATCTCAACCTGAGACAAAAAAAAAGAAAAATCAATAAAAGACATAATTTATATATATTTTTTAGTCAACAATAAAAATAAAAGTAATTTTGAAGCATAGGTTCCACTAGCCCTGACTCCAGAGTTCTACCAATATGGTTCCATTTGGGCTGGCATGTATAAAGTGGTTTAAATGTCGTTAATGGTATTATAACTGCATAATTGTATCTTTAAAATTCCACAACAGTTTGGACCATCATTGCAAGCAAAAAATTAATAGGATCTGGGCAGAGAATACCATTGATCCTGCTCCCTTAGTTCCTCAGAGTGACCAGGCCAGGCCAAACTGGCAATAATCCCAATCTTGAGTTTAGCTCCAGAGTCAGATAAGGCTAGCAGAATCTCAGCTTAAGAAGATAATAGTGAAAATTATAGCTTGATTCATATCTGATGTGAAATAAACTACTTCAACTCCATCTAATGTGCTATCCTCATGAGAAAAATTTTCTTCAAGCTAAGAATACAACAAATGCAATCTCTGAAGTTATAAAGTTTTCATGTGCTAAGTGAAGAGTAAATACAGTAATTGACCCTTACCTTCTCAGGGGTAGAGGCACACATGACCATTGCCTCGGATAAAACACCCCGCATTTTGGCTGGTTTTAGATTACACAATAATACTACCATGCGATTCTGCATTTCTGCTTCTGGTATAAACCGCACAAGCCCTGAGACAACTGTACGGAACTTCCCTTCTGCAATATCAACCTGGAAGTAGAAACTTCAATGAGTGGCTATATATAGCTCAGATACTACTAATATATCTGTATTAATTTCTTCCTTAGTACTAAATATTCTTCATCTCTTATTTTGTCTTTCTTTTTCACATTCACATATATGGTTGCATGTGTGTGCAATTGTATTTGGGTGTAGCATGTGTGTGTGCAATTGTATTTGCGTGTAGCATTTGTTTGTGCATTATGCTGATGTGTGCGCATGTGTATGTCTGTATAGATCTCATTTCATTTTTGTGAAATCAAATATGGATTATAATCAGTGAAAAAACGATAACTTTAACTTGGGGAAAAATCACATACCTCTTCCACATAGAGAGAATCAGCATCAGGATGTTTCTTGGCTGTGACAATCCTCCCAACTCGAAAATCAAGGCGAGAAACATCAACGGCTGCCTCTTCCTCTGGCTTCTTTCCTCCTCCACCTCCTTTCTTTTCACCATCTGCCTTTTTCTTCTCCTTCTTTTCCTAAAGATTTATCATACACACTTAAGGAAAGTTTGGTTTCAACTGCACACAACCAAAAAAAAAAAAAAAATCACAAATCACAAAAACCTATTTTCTCTGTATTGTTCTTACATATATACCATATCTTAAAATTTTCTGCACATCTGCCATGTTTTACATAAAATTACATATTTTTTTCCTTTCCATACCTTGGTCAGGTATTCTTGATTTGAATTATTCTGCTGATAAGCACATAAACTATAAATATATACCTTTTGGCTGTGAAAAAACTTTTTCATGATTGTGTAAATCAGCCCAAGTTCCTCATTTTCAAATATCTAAAGCTGAGGTAAACACTGCTGTGTGGTGCAGCAGTAGCGATCTCATTTAGCAATCTTGCTGACCTGCGTTCAGATCCCTTGCCGCCAGTGGATGGTAATCCCGGCCATTCCTTGCACACAAGAGATAACTTAGAAGCAAAATAAAGCAGACACTATGTGACACCAAGAATATCCATTGTAACAAATGGAATCAAATTAAAACTTTTATTAAACCTTGTGAGACAATCTACAAACAGACATTGCTGTTTGCACAGACGTGTGAATGTGATTCAGGCAAAGAAAACCAGCCAAATTAGGTACATGTTCCTATGGTATGCTTTCAATACAAGGAATGGATTCTAATTTTACTTAGTATGTCTTTTACATTTCATGGTTAATTCATTAAGATTAACTGGTGTGTAGCACTCGCCATGCTGCACCAACAAAGCAGTATTTTTTTTTTATATCACTTGTATCCAAAACATGATTCTATTAGCTTTTACATATTCAGAGTTGCATGATATACACTTTTGTTGCTAGATGAAACCTGCAGTAACCTGATTATGCTTTAGAATCCATTTCAATAAATAAGGTATGTTACACTCTGTGTACAAGATTGAATGTGGTTTTATTGAAGGATAAAAAATTCAAAATCACTCATTTTTGCAAATCGATATACACGCATGCTGCCACCACAGCTTCAGTACTTCCCTTTTGTGTCATACTTCAAGACTTGCTCACAGAGCACCAAAAGACAATGCAAGTAGTTAACACAAAGAGACTGACCTTGTAAACAAGAATGAAGGTTACTTACAGGTTCACATCAACAGCAAGAGAGCACCAGGTCTTGGTGTGTGACATATTCCGGGCATAGCAGGCACATTATTTATATGCTAAAATTTGCCCTTTATACAAAATAGGCACTCATAGCATTACACATCCTGTTCTTCCTCAGGTAATGCCCCAGGGCATGTGGTGTGGGCCTCATATGACGGTTCCTTATAAAGTGTAATGCATGCATCCTTATAACATGATGTGAATGACCAGTTGCTGGAGCCACAACCAAGTCAGCCATGTGTGAACCCCACATCATCTGTTGGCTATGAGTTAAGAGAATCTGTGTAACAAGTTGACAGTCACCATTGTCGTTGTGGCAAGATTAACCCCTTAACGCCGGGTGACGCCGATTGGCGAGAAAACAAACCGCTCGAAAGCTGGCATGCGGCTGTACGCCACAGCGGCACGCCATAGCGCAGCGAGCCAGTGATTCGGGCTGATGTCCCGTACTCACGCGCTCAAAGTCGGCGCGCCGCCTTCGTTTGCTAGAGCGTAGTTTTTTTGTTTTGTTTTGTACAGCCAGCGCCATTGGGTTAATTGACTACAAAGAGTTGGCCACAAGGGTCATAAATGTGTTCTAATATATACCTAATGTTTTTTTCCTCCATAATTTCAAAGCCAATTTATGATTTAGATTAGCATTGTTAAGTGAGCAATCATATTGGGCTAGTAAATAAGTGAGAAAATTCAAATGTATTTGTTGGAAAGGACAAGGTATGATTGTAAGAATGACAACATT